CAAATGTTGGTGCATTTAGTGTTGTCCCAGAGGTCTCTGAGACTGTCCTCAATTCTTTTCATTCTTTTTCCTTTATTCTGCTCTGCAGTAGTTATTTCTACCATTTTATCTTCCAGGTCATTTATCCGTTCTTCTGCCTCAGTTATTCTGCTATTGATTCCTTCTAGAGAACTTTTAATTTCATTTCTTGTGTTTTTCATCGTTGTTGGTTTGCCCTTTAGTTCTTCTAGGTCCTTGTTAAAAGTTTCTTGTATTTTCTCCGTTCTATTTCCAAGATTTGGGATCATCTTTACTATCATTTTTCTGAATTCTTTTTCAGGTAGGCTGCCTATTTCCTCTTCATTTGTCTGATCTGGTGGGTTTTTACTTTGCTCTTTCATCTGCTGGGTATTTCTCTGTCTTCTCATTTTGCTTATCTTACTGTGCTTGGGGTCTCCTTTTGCAGGCTGTAGGTTCATAGTTCCCATTGTTTTTGGTGTCTGCCCCCAGTGGGTAAGGTTGGTTCAGTGGGTTGTGTAGGCTTCCTGCTGGAGGGGACTGGTGCCTGTGTTTTGGTGGGTGGGGATGGATCTTTTCTTTCTGGTGGGCAGGACCACGTCCGGTGGTGTGTTTTGGGGTGTCTGTGAACTGATTATGATTTTAGGCAGTCTCTCTGCTAACAGGTGGGGTTGTGTTCCTGTCTTGCTAGTTGTTTGGCACAGGGTGTCCAGCACTGTAGCTTGCTGGTTGTTGAGTGGAACTGGGTCTTAGCATTGAGATGGAGATCTCTGTGAGAGCTCTCACCATTTGATTTTGCATGGGGCTGGGAGGTTTCTGGTGGTCCAATGTCCTGAATTCGGCTCTCCCACCTCAGAGGTTCAGGCCTGACACCCGGCCAGAGCACCAAGACCCTGTCAGCCACTCAGCTCAGAAGAAAAGGGAGGAAAAAGAGAGACAGAAAGAAAGAAAATAATAAAATAAAAGATAAATTATTAAAAATAAAAAAGTAATTAAAAAAAAGAAAGAAAGAAGAGAACAACCAAACTAAAAAACAAATCCACCAATGATAACAAGCGCTAAAAACTATCCCAAAAAAATGGAAAGACTGAACCCTAGGACAAATGGTAAAAGCAAAGCCATAGAGACAAAATCACACAGAGAAGCATACACATACACAGTCACAAAAACAGAAAAAGAAAATTATATTTTTTTAAAAAAAAAGCAATTCCGAGAGCAACCAAATCAATAAACAAATTTACCAGTGATAATAAGCTCTAAATACTAAACTAAAATAAACATAAAACCAGAAACAAATTAGATGCAGAAAGCAAACCCCAAGTCTACAGTTGCTCCCAAAGTCCACTGCCCCAATTTTGGGATGATTCATTGTCTATTCAGGTATTCCACAGATGCAGGGTAAATCAGGTTGACCGTGGAGATTTAATCCGCTGCTCCTGAGGCTGCTGGGAGAGATTTCCCTTTCTCTTCTTTGTTCACACAGCTCCTGGGGTTCAGCTTTGGATTTGGCCCCGCCTCTGCGTGTAGGTCGCCTGAGGGCGTCTGTTTCCCACCCAGACCGGATGGGGTTAAAGAAGCAGCTGATTCGGGGGCTCTGGCTCACTCAGGCCGGAGGGAAGGAGGGGTACAGAATGCAGGGTGAGCCTGCAGCAGCAGAGGTCAGCATGACGTTTTCACAGCCTGAGGCACAATGTGTGTTCTCCCAGGGAAGTTGTCCATGGATCACGGGACCCTGGCAGTGGCAGGCTGCATAGGCTCCCGGGAGGGGAGGTGTGGATAGTGACCTGTGTTTGCACACAGGCTTCTTGGTGGCTGCAGCAGCATCCTTAGCATTTCATGTCCATCTCCGGTATCTGCGCTGATAGCCACAGCTGGTGCCCATCTCTGGAGCTCGTTTAGGCAGTGCTCTGGATCCCCTCTCCTCATGCACCCCAAAACAATGGTCTCTTGCCTCTTAGGCAGGTCTAGACATTTTCCCAGATTCGCTCACCAATAGCTGTGGTGCACTAGCCCCCTTCAGGCTGTGTTCATGCAGCCAACCCCAGTCCTCTCCCTGGGATATGACCTCTGAAGCCGGAGCCTCGTCTCCCAGCCCACACCCATCCCAGCGGGTGAGCAGACAAGCCTCTCAGGCTGGTGAGTGCTGGTCTGAGCCAATCCTCTGTGCGGGAATCTCTCTGCTTTACCCTCTGCACCCCTGTTGCTGTGCTCTTCTCCATGGCTCCAAAGCTTACCCCCAACCCACCCCCCGTCTCCGCCAGTGAAGGGGCTTCCAAGTGTGTGGCAACTTTTCCTCCTTCACAGCTCCCTCCCAGAGGGGCAGGTCCTGTCTCTATTCTTCTGTTTCTGGTTTTCCTTTTTTCTTTTGCCCTGCCCAGGTACGTGGGAAGTTTGCTGCCTTTTGGGAGGTCTGAGGTCTTCTGCCAGCGTTCAGTAGGTGTTCTGTAGGAGTTGTTCCACATGTAGATGTATTTCTGATGTATTTGTGGGAAGGAAGGTGATCTCCACATCTTACTCCTCCGCCATCTTGAAGGTCCCTCCAGTATTTGTTTTTCTCTGTCTGACTTATTTCACTTACCATAATGGCCCCAAGGTCCATCTATATTGTCACAAATGGCAAGATGTCACTCTTTTTTTGTGTGAATAATATTCCATTGAATACACACACACACACACACACACACACACACACACACACACACACGGACTTCCCTGGTGGTGCAGTGGTTAAGAATCTGCTTGCCAATGAGGGGGACACAGGTTCAAGCCCTGGTCCGGGAAGATCCCACCTGTTGCAGAGCAACTAAGCCCGTGTGCCACAACTACTGAGCTTGCACTCTAGAGCCCACGAGCCACAACTACTGAGCCTGTGTGCCACAACTACTGAAGCCCGCATGCCTAGAGCCCATGCTCTGCAACAAGAGAAGCCAATGCAATGAGAAGCCCACGCACCACAACGAAGAGTAGCCCCCGCTCGCTGCAACTAGAGAAAGCCCACACACAGCAACAAAGACCTAATGCAGACAAAAATAAAGAAAGAAATTTTTTAAAAATAATATATATGTATATATATTCATTTATATGTGTGTATATATATATATATATATACACATATTTGAAACATTTTCTTTATCCATTCATCTATTGATAGGACACTTAGATTTTAAAGAAATTTGTGCCAATCAGCCAGTGTGTTAGCATTAGGAGTACCTGATAAGGCAAATATCTGGCCTTAGTTTTTAGATAGTTTCATTCCTCTCTGCCTTGCTTTATAATGGACATATTTAGAAATTACATGGCTAAAAATATTACTATATAATATGAGTAAAATCAGCTAAACAAATAATTGAAACAGTAAAACTGAACAATAATACAAACCTGGAGTTGAACCAACTATAACTACCTATTTTGAGAAAATTCTCTTTCTTCCGTGAGATAATTTCCAATCTCTTTAATGTGAACACATAATTCAAAATATTTTTGATCAAATAAAAGATAATAAATGTATGTTCTGGTAAGAGAAATGTGATAACTATAAATATATGTGAAAGAATATATTTAATGGATGAATGATTATCATGATACTAATATTCTCAAGTAAAATGTACATTTGGTTTATAAAATAAGTTTTGGGGATTATGAACAATTAGCACCCATTTAACAAATACTACTTTATATTCAGTATGTAATAGTACAACATAAATAAAAGCAATTACTACTTCAATTATCACTTTAAAATTACCTCAATTGCCCTTAAAAATACAAATAAAACAGTCATAGATTGATCGCTTGTTATTTTAATCATAAACCACTGTTCCTTAGAGAACCTGAAAAAAATCATTTTTCCAAACGTTTATTCAACACACAGCTACTGAGGGCCTACTACGTGCCAATAAGCAACTCGACAGGTACAGGGACAAAGCATGGTCACTACTTTCAGCTCTCACGAAGCTTAAGGACTAAAGAAGCGCAGGTAAGCGTGAAATAAATGTTTTAGCTCTAAAATATCTGTAACAGCAACATGTTATGGGAGAGGAAAGAAAGGAGTAATCATTTTCACCTAGCAAGGCTTTAAAAGGTTTCCTGACAGAACAGCGTCGGATTTTAGCAAAAAGGGAAGGAAAATACACTGTTTATGCTTAACTGTCAAAAAATTACAACTACTATTACAGTGCACAGACACTTCTCAAATTCTATTTCATTTAATTATCTCAACAACCCTTTGGGACCAGCATTTCACAATGAGAAACCAAAGATGTACAGGATAAATAACTCGCCCAAGGTCAAATATGTTGTAAATGGAAGGGCCAAGAATGAGTCCAGGTCTCTGTAACTCAGTATTCTTTCCACTACATCGGGCTGCCTAAGCTGAGCTTTAAGAATGAGTAAGACTTAAATAAAGAAAAAGAAGAAAACAGAAAAGAAAGACGACAGAAGAGACATAAAAATATAATTCATGTATTATCCTAGAGTAAAAAATAACTTCTGTCCTTGGAATATACACATATATATATGAAATACAGATATTTATATATATACACACACATACTAATAAAAGATATAATGATACAATTGAAAAACAAACTAAGATAATTCATGAATTACACTGATCAAAAATTCCATACTCAAATCTAATTGTTTAAGAGACTGTTCTATGACTGAGACCATAAGGAAACTACATTAAGATTTCCAAAATGCCTAATTTACAAATCCCTTAGTCACCAAACGCATTCATCAATTAACATTTTTGAGCAAATATAATTCATTAATTAAAATAAAATTAAGGCAACATACCAATAAATACAATACTTCATTAAATTTCTACTTTAACACTCCTATACAATTCCACTGTATTTAAAAAAACCATCTGTTCTATTAATGTCCTTTTTAAGCACAAGAATGTTACAGTGATAAATGTTAAAACAAGTAGTTTCTAATATGAAATGAATCTAAAATAATCAAACTCTACTTTTAACATTATTTGAGAAGAAAATAAATTCTACCTCTGCATTGTGCTTAGTTGTTATTTCTAATTTTTCTTTCTTAGCCCGATGGAGTTTCTTTCTGAGATCAGCAGTAATATCCAAGTCTGTTTCATTTTTAACCATTTGTTTTATATCAGATGAGGCGTTCTTCAACCTATAAAATGAGATCAAAATAAAATATAATTATTATTAAGTAAATTTCCAGCACTTCCCGTATTTCTGATAACTTATTTTTCAAAAAAAACAGGGAACATGTTACGGTCCTTACCCTAAAGAAACTTACATTCCAGTAAAAGATATTGATTGCAAAAGCTAGATAGAATTGCAAAGCAGTATATGACTAGAAACAAACCACTGTCCACTGGGAAATCACCATATTGTTCAAGATAGGCAATAAAGGTTATCTGATCCTATCACAAGCTGGCAAGTTTTGGAGAAGACCGAGTTCTTTCCTTTTAACCTTTTTAAATAATATATTTTACTTATTGCAAATATAACACATATTACAAAAAGAGAAAGTATAAGAGAATACAGACTCATGCTTTTAAATGGCAGAGTAAAGTTCTACTCTCTCCCCAAAAGTAAAATTAAAATTTTAACTAATTTAACAGCAAAGAGAATTTAGAGATATAAACTCACAAGGAGAATTAGTACCAGAGATGAGACAATAGCAATAAAATACTGGAAGTTGGAACGCAGGTGGATAAGTGGTAAGTGATTTATATAAGAGAGCTGAATTCAAAGCCAACAGTAAGAAAAGCAACCTGATTTACACCAGAGTCCCAAAAAGCTCAGTTCACTGGCAACACCTTTTAAAATGGGGGTAAAAGCAGAGCAGAAAACAGGAGAATTGGTTGAAAGTCTGCCAAAGAAATAATAAGATCCTCAGATCCTCTACCCTATACACCACACAACTGGGTATTGATTTCTTCCCCACTCTGGCAGAACACTAGGGGTTTATCCCCTGGAGAGGATAAAACAGAACGTCTCTCGATTGGAGACATCAGATACAAATCGGGTAAGTGTTCCATACCAAAAGCAAGAGACTCGAGTAAAAAGTTATATAATAAATTATATCCCTGGTCTTCTAATACTTATTGTCTAACAGAACAATGTCAGCCAAAGAAGAGACTAGAAGGATCTTCCCTGGAGAATCTAACCAACAAGGTGAAAAAGACCTAAAGATGCCAATGTTACGGGTTCTCCAGCAAAACAGCTTAACCAGATCACCCTACACAGAATGCCTCATACACTGAGCTTCCAATCATCTTTTTAGGCCTCTACTTTTAAATATGAACAGAGAGCCAAGGATCACCAGAAGTTAAGCAACATCTGATAAGAAAGACAAAGACTGCAAGGGGCAGGGAAGAAGTCAAAGATGATGCAGGGAAAAGATAACTTTAAAAAAAGATTAAGAAAAAACCCTTAACATTAAAATCCTCAGAAAAATAGGAGAGGATAAAAAAATCCATAAAACAAAAACTGGATGTAATTAAAAATGAAATATTCATAGAACAAAAAAAGAGCTCTTGGAAATCAAAAACACAAACTAAGAAATGAAAAACTAAATAAATAAATTTAAAACAAAAATCTCCCAGATGCCTCAAAAAATTACAAGAGAAAATAATTTCCAATTTAGAATTTTATGCTCAACAAGTACCATTCAAAGACAAGAGTATGGGGAAGGGAAAATGAAACGTGCACGCTTTCATACCTATGATCAGAGTGTAAACTGGCAGAAAAGTTTTTAGAAGTTTGGTAATAAATGTCTAAAACTTTCAAAAAAAAAACAAAGACAAGAGTATGAGAAACACTATTTCAGATCTACAAGACATCAAAACATTTATAAGGGGCTACTGGAAGACTTGTTTCACCAAAATAAGGACCCACACTGAGAAAGAGAAAGAAATGGGATCCCAGAAGTAGGGTATTCAAGATAAGAAAACAGCAAAGGGATGTCTAAGATAGTGATGAAAGGAAGCACCCAGTGAAATTTGTGCAGCAAATCACTTAAAGGGTAATCTGTTCCAACTGTACTGGCCAATGCCTCCAGGAGTAATTTCTTTAAGATGAAAAGAGAAAAGAACAGAATACATCAACTATGTGAACATATTGAGAGATTTATAAAACTTGGTGGGAGTATGAAGTTGAATTCATAAGTTCATGGAAATTAAACCAAGTAAACAACAAATGAGACAACTATTAATTAAATCCAAGAAAAACAAAATGTATACCACAGAAAAAATTGTCACTGAATACTACTACATAACTCAACTAGGAAGTTTTGATAATTATACGATAATGTAAACATTGATTAATCTAACCAAGATTATATATCACTAAATGAAGAGAGAATAGAAAAGGGAGGCAAGTATGAATGAAAACTAAATTATGAACTTCTATAGTGGAAAGTCAGTAGATAATGGCTAAACATGAAAAATCAAATAGCAATATAAAAAAAATTTTTGAAGAGGTATGGATTTTAAAAAAACATCTCAGAGAGTTGAAAATGATTCTTTCTAGGGATAAAGAAAGTTATTTGTCTCAAGGTAATAAGCACTGCTATTTTTCCTAACAGCAGTAAGTAAGCCTTTTAGAACAATTAGTCTTTAAATAACATGCATACGTAATTTTTTTTAAATAAGACTAAAATAAAACAACAGAGAATCAATGAAACCAAAATTTGATTCTTTAAATAGATGAATAAACTTGATAAACCTTTGGTTAGCTAGACAAAGAAAAAAGAGAAGAAACTCAAAGTATAAGCAAAAAATAAAAAAGGGAATGGCACTACCAACGTAGAAGGATTATAATGAATACCATGAACAACTTTACGCTAACAAATCAGGACAAATTTAGGACAAATTCCTAAAAACACGGTAATTACTAAAACTAACTCAAAAAGAAAGAGAAAATCTGAACAGACCTGTAACAGACAACAACATTGAATTAATAATTTTAAAAATCTAATCATAGAGAAAGTCCAAGTCCAGATTCTACCAAACTTTAAGGAAGAAATAATACCAATCCTCACATTAGAGGAGGAGGAAACATTTCTCCAAATCATTCTGAGTCCAGCATTACCTAATACCAAAATATGGCAGACATCTCAAGAAAGGAAGAGTACAGACCAATATCTTTCATGAATAGAGATACAAAAAATCCTCAACAAAACATTAGCAAACCAAATCCAGCAACATCTTGAAAGAATTAAATTATAACATGATTAATTGGGATTTATCCCCAAAATAGAAAATTGGTATAATGTCTGAAACTCAAGTGATGTAATATACCATTTTACTAAAACAAAGGATGAAAACTATATGATCATCTCAACAGATACAGAAAATGTATTTGACAAAATCCAACACCCATTCATGATTTAAAAAAATAAAAAATAACTCTCAACAAACTAGGAATACAAGGAAATTTCATCAATCTGATAAAGGGCCTCTATGAAAAACTGCAAAAAGTAGCATCAAACTTAATGGTGAAACACTGAAAGCTTCCCCTAAGACTGGGAACAAAACAAAGATGTCTGCTAGTAATACTTCTATTCAAGACTGTATTGGAGGTTCTAGACAGTGCAATCAGGGAAAAAAAAAAAAAAGGAAAAGAAATAAAAGGCACATATACTGAAGGAAGAAGTAAAACTGTCTTTAATGGCAAAGAACATGATCCTGTAAGATTATCCTAAGAAATCCATTAAGAAGCAAAAAGACTAGAACTAAAAAACAATTTCAGCAAGGTCACAGACTATAAGATCAATATGCAAAACCAATCACATTTCTAAACACTAGCAATAAATAATCCAAAACTGAAATTTAAAAAATAATTCCACTTATAATAGCATCAAGTAAATAAAATAGATTTAGGATTAAATTTAACAAAAAAAGGGAAAGACTTCTACACTGAAAAGCATAAATTATTGTTGAACTAAATTGAAGACCTAAGTAAATGAAAAGACATTCCACATTCACATTCATGTATTTGAAGACTAGTATTTTAAGATGGCCACTTTCCCCAAACTGATCTATAGATTCAACATATTGCCTACCAAAATCCCAGCAGGCTTTTTTTTTGCAGAAATTGACAAGCTGACCCTAAAAATTATATGGAAAAGCAAAGGACTCAGAAAAACCAAAATAATCTTTAAGAAAAACTAATGGGAGGACTTGCACCTTCTAAATTCAAAACTTACCATAAAGCTACAGTAATCAAAACAGTGTAGAATTTGAATTAAGAATAAACATGTAGATCAGTGTACCAGAATTGAGACCACAGAAATAAAGTCATATATATACAGTCAATTAATTTTCAACAAAGGTGCCAAGACAATTCAATGGGGGAAAAGATAGTCTTATCAACAAATGGTGCTAAAACAACTGATCTCCACAGGCAAAAAGATAAATTTAGACCCTTACCTCACACCATATACTACAAAGTAACTTAAAATGGAGCCCGGACCTAAATGTAAGAACTAAAATGATAAAAATTCTAGAAAAAAACTTAGGAGAAAAATCTTCATGACCTTAAGTTGGGCAAAATTTCTTAGATATGAAACCAAAAGCACAATCCATAAAGAAAAAGAATTGAACTTCATAAAAATTAATAACTTTTACACTTCAAAAGACATTATTAAGAAAATGAAGTCAAGCCAACAAATGGGAAAAGATATTTGCAAATTATATATCTGATAAAGGATTTGTATCCAGAATACATAAAGAACTCTTTTTTTTAATAAATTTATTTTATTTTTTATTTTTGGCTGTGTTGGGTCTTCATTGCTGCACACAGGCTTTTCTCTAGTTGTGGCGAGCGGGCGCTACTCTTCGTCGCAGTGCACGGGTTTCTCATTGCGGTGTCTTCTCTTGTTGCAGAGCATGGGCTCCAGGTGCATGGGCTTCAGTAGTTGTGGCAAACGGGCTTAGTTGCTTCGTGGCATGTGGGATCTTCCCGGACCAGGGCTCGAACCCGTGTCTCCTGCATTGGCAGGCGGATTCTTAACCACTGCGCCACCAGGGAAGCCCTCAGAATATATAAAGAACTCTTGAAGCGCGATAACAAAAAGATGAATAACTCAATTTAAAATCAGGCAAAAGATCTGAATAGGCTTTTCACCAATGAAGATACACAAATGGGCAAAAAAAAGCACATGCAAAGATGTTCAACATCATTGCTCACTAGGAAAACACAAAATAAAATCACAATGACGTATTACTTTACTCTCACTGGAATGGCTATAATCAAAAAGTCAGAAAACAACAAGTGTTGGGGAGGATATGGAAATGTATAAAACCCTTATACACTGCTGGTGGAAATGTAAAATGCTTCAATCACTTTAGAATACAATTTGGAAGTTTCTTAAAAATTTTAACATAAATTTACTATATGATGAAGTAATGGTGCTCCTAAGAATCTACCCAAGAGAAATAAAATATGTCTACACAAAGACTTGCACACAAGTGTTTATAGCAGAGTTATTCATAATAGGCAAAATGTGGAAACAACCCAAATGTCCATCAACTGGTGAATGGTTAACTAAAATGTATATATCCATAAAATGGAATAATATTCAGCAATAAGAAGAAACAAAGTACTGACACATGTTACAATATAATAAATCTGAAGAACATGCCTACTGAAAAGAAGCCAGACACAAATGACCACATATTGTATGACCCCAGTTATATGACTTGTTCAAAAAAGGCAAATCTATAGAAACAGAAAGTACGTTCGTGGTAAATAGCAGAGTTTAAATAACTTCATCAGTCCAGATTCTAGAACTCTGAAGAGTAATTTAACCATTAAAAATTATGACAGATGTATATTAATTTGGCAAGATGTTCCCCCCAAAATTGAAAAAGCAAGATACTAATGTAAAATATTATTCTAATTTTTGAAATATATATTTGTATGTTCAAAAGAAAAGGTCTGGGCAAGTAAATACCAAAATATTGTCGGTAGTTAACTCTAAGTGGTAGCATTATAAGCAGTTTCATCATTTTATTCATTTGTATTTCTTAAATTATTCTAAAAACACATGCATTATCTGCATTAAAATATACATATCTCTGTGTATATATACATATGCACATATATAAGACAGGATATCAGAGCAAAAAAGAACCTTAAAACACTCCCTTTAGCAGTTTTTGAACCATCTTCCTCACCATAGTGGTGGAGAACCAGCTGATGAGACCTCACTCTTAACCCTTGGAACATCTAACAGAAAAAATTCTTTTTAAGATAAAATTTTAGTAAAGAAAAATATTAATATTTTACTCATTTATTCTCTGTCTTGCTCCAGAAAGGATTTCAGGTAGCTCCTAAAGACAGGTAGGAAACGTTTACATAGCAAATCCTATTTATAAAGCAAAGTACATGTTAGTCATGGTACTCACCCCACCCACACATCCTTGCTGAAAAGGTGCTCAAGATCAGTTCTTCTCAAACTAAACGTGAGCAAGGACTATCCCCACCCCACTCCCATTGCTTCTGTAAAATATATTTAAAAGGGATAACTAAAAAAGAAAATCTAAAAACAGATAAAATTCAACTCTAAGTGTTTTATTATTAGATTCGACAAATAGAAAATTACTCTGTTACATGATTATAAGTTTCTAAACACTTGCTTTCAATTTCTGTACTTATTTCTTCGTAAACCACACTTTGAGTTGCACTCTCCGAAATGGCTCCATTTCGCATTATGGACTCAGAGTTTTTATATTATTCACATGAGATATGAATAAACCAAAGGTAGGCACCTCACCCAAAGGCATATATGAATGGTACAAAAAAGATGAGCAACAGCAATTCTTAGAATGTAAACTCCAAGAAAAGAAGCAGTTAGCAACAGGAGCTAAAACTAACAGAACGCTTAAGTAGAGTGATGAATCAGAGTTGGGGCAATGAGGAAATAAGAGGAAACACAGCAACACAGATTGTGGCAAGCCAAGTAATAATGAATAAGCAGAAGAAAAGATTTAGAGAAGTGGAAAAGAATAAGCAAGTCTCTAGGGACTGGAGAAAGTACAGACACTGACTTTTGTACACTGAGTTAACAAAGGAGCATAAAGAGCCACACAGAGTCTCCAGACCCAGTTCTGGTTTCTATGAGGCATCATTCTTGCTCCTCCAGTCCCATGAAATTTCCACTTCCCTTACCATCCCATGAGAATTCTTACAATCAGCCTCTCCAACCACTTATTTCTCCCTGCTCCCTGCAACCAAAAGCATTCCTCAACTAGAAGAAGAGACTGGAGGCTTACCTTTGGATATCACCAGGGGCATTATTTGAAGTGTTCAAACTCATGATGAGTCTTCCAACTCTTTGAAAATACCCCACTGTTGTTTAATGATATACTTCGTTATTAATGATTAAAACTGTCCAAGACGTCTGTGGCTTACAGGTTACATGGGCTGAAGTCTGTTAAAATAGTAAACAATATAACAGCAGTTATTTATATGAGCCCTGAGACTAGGGGTGATTTTTCTCTTGTTTTTTGACTTATCTGTATTTTTAAGATTATTCTTTAAAAAACATGTAAATACTTGTATTTTTAAAAGCCACAGTGTTTGGGGACTTCCCTGGTGGTCCAGTGGGTAAGACTCCATGCTCCCAATGCAGGGGGCCCAGGTTCAATCCCTGGTCAGGGAACTAGATCCCGCATGCATGGCACAACTAAGAGTTCACATGCCACAACTAAGAGTCTGCATGCCACAACAAAAGGATTCCACGTGCCGCAATGAAGACCCCGCGTGCCACAACTAAGACCCAACACAGCCTAAATAAATAAACTTTTTTTTAAGTTATAAAAAATAAAATAAAAGCCACAGTGTTTTATTTCTTTTTAAATAAGATTAGAAACAAAAATGACAAAACATTAGAAAGAAATTCCTTCTTATAAGAATATGCTAATACTATTAGATTATTTTAATTTCTCAAATAAAAAGTAATAAAATAGTGACTAATTGTTCTTAAACTGGAAGAGGAATAGGTAGTGCCTATCTCTAGGGCACAGAATTCAGTATGAAAGAAAATGCAGTCCAGGGATGTTTTGGGGTCCCAAAAGACTTTTTCATAAATGAAATATTTTTAAAGCAATGTTACAATCAAAGAGGCCAAGGCACTCCCACATAAAAGATCTTACAGTAATTTTCAAAGGCCTTCTCCCAAGGGATTGAAGAGGAAAAAGGAAAGAAGAGAGCATTTGTCACTTACCCTGGCTTCTCTCCAGAACACTCTTCTACCAGAGATACTCCAAATTATACAGAGTCAACAACTGTAAGTTACTTTACTACAGTATGAAGGAATCTTTGGGTAAACATCTCAATAACTAACTAATTCCAAATAGACACAAATATGAAGATCTCACAAGGTCTCTTGGTATCCCCAGCAGAAGTCCAATATCCTAAGAAAGACCATGAGATTTGGTCTCAGAGAGATCTGAGCTAGGATTCCAATAAGCATCAAGTATGTGGTCATAGGCAAGCCACTTAAACTCTCTGAGCTTGTTTCCTCAACCATAAGGAGATAACTATATCAAGCTCATATATTTGATATTTAAGTAATATACACAACACATATACAGTACACAGTCACTGTCAGTTTCTATTACTGTAACACAAACCCTCTGAGATCTCTGATAAAGGAAAGGAGTAGGTGACACTTGGGGTGATTTGGTCTGGTTAAAGATGTAATAAAAGAAGGCTTCCCTGGTGGCGCAGTGGTTGAGAGTCCGCCTGCCTATGCAGGGGACACGGGTTCGTGCCCCAGTCCGGGAAGATCCCACGTGCCGCGGAGCGGCTGGGCCCGTGAGCCATGGCCGCTGAGCCTGCGCGTCCAGAGCCTGTGCTCCGCAATGGGAAAGGCCACAACAGTGAGAGGCCTGCGTACCGCAAAAAAAAAAAAAAGATGCAATAGAAGAATTGTTTAGTGGGAATTCCCTAATGGTCCAGTGGTTAGGACTTGGAGCTCTCACTGCCAGGGGCCTGGGTTCAATCCCTGGTGGGGAACTAAGATCTCACAAGTCATGTGGCGCAACCAAAAAAATAAAAATTAAAAGGCCAGGACACTGAGTGATAAATGACCCACCAAGACACACCATTATGAAAATAAAAGAATTGTTTAGTAAAATTGTAGGTATACAGGGATAGCTAGAAGATGCCCCCCCCCAAAAAAATCTAAACTGATCTGTCCCTGCTCGCAATAAACAACCCTGAGAGAGATCACTGAAAGAAAAGAGACTCAAATAAGCCAACTGAGATGTAGACTCAAACACTGTACTGGGAACTGACTAATGGCTCCTACAGCCAAACACTAAGGGATCTTCAAAACAGTCAGTGACTCACACAGCTGATGCAGAAGAGTTTGACCTAGGACAAAGACGACAAAACTTTTACCAAGATGGGGTGGGGGGGAGGGAATCCCATTTCTCCAGGGACCTAAATACTAAGTTTGGGAATAGTGGTAGACAAACAAACACCACTATCATTAATCTACTGAGCACCTAGTAAAATGTCAAGCACTGTGTTTGGTATTTTATTTATACATAGAACTATAGAACTCCAATCCTTACAACACTGCAATGTAAAGATTATCCTTTTCAACAGAGAAAACTAAGAGATTAGAAGTAATTTGTCAAAAGACAAATAGTTACAGAACCAAAATTCCAACTCGTTACTATCTATCTAACTCTAAAGCCAAAGCTCTTTCTACAAGGTCATTGTTGATACAGTTAAACTATAAATTACCTTACCTGAGGTTCATTATCCTCATTTCAATTACAGAAACTCATCTAATTCAGAAAGTCTTAAATGACTTGCCTAAGGCCAGTCAGCTACTAAGTAGGGGACACCAAGGACTCAATCAAGCTCTTCTGATACTGAGTCCCAAAATCTTTTCATCTTACCACCATGCCCCCAAAGCTCAGACTCCAGAGGAAGTGCCTTCAGAATGGAAGTTTAAGAGTTAGAAGGGACTCTTCCATACTTAAGAGTAATATACAAGGCTCAAAAGTATATACAAAATGTTTCTATTTTTAAAGTGAAAAAGATGGGGCTTCCCTGGTGGCGCAGTGGTTGGGAGTCCGCCTGCCGATGCAGGGGACGCCCGTTCGTGCCCCTGTCTGGGAGGATCCCACATGCCGCGGAGCAGCTAGGCCTGTGAGCCATGGCCGCTGGGCCTGCACATCCGGAGCCTGTGCTCCGCGACTGGAGAGGCCACAACAGTGAGAGGCCCGCATACCGCAAAAAAATAAAAATAAAAAAAATAAAGTGAAAAGGATGAAACACACACACATATGCATATGTGTCACAACAGGCACAAACAGAACCTCTATTTACCTCACAGGAAAAGAATTTATATACTTAGGGCCTTAATAATGTCTGCTTTTTTTATTTTGTTTTGATCTTGGGCAGAGAAGTGTGGGAAGAGGTAGTTTACCAAATTTTAACATAGTTGTTTCAATAAAGCTAAGTTGAAGGCAACCACCATTTTTCACTGTATTATTTTGCTATGTAACATCTTCAAATCTGAACGGTCTTCTAGAGAGAAAATGGTCTTCTATAGCTCAGGTGCAAGTTTCATTAACTTCCAGATCACTGAAACAGATAACGTAGTAGGCAGATGGTCCCCATGATCTCTGCCCCCTGGTGTTTCTCTCTTGTATAATACCCTCCCCTTTACTGCGGGCAGAACCTGTGACTTGCCTCTAACCAACAGAATATGGCAAAGGTGACAGGCTGCACTCCCATGATTATATTATGTTATATAAGACTCTATCCTAGCAGAGTGAAGTGACAGGCAACCTCTAGCTGATCGTGAAGAAGCACAATGTCACGCTGTGAACTGCCTACGGAGAGGGCCACATGGCAGGGAACTGCAGGCAGCTCCAACCCACAGGCAGTAAAAAGCCAGATCCCTCGGTCATACAGATGCCAACAGGAAATACATTCTGCCAACAACCTGAATGAACTGGGTAGCAGATTCTTTCCAGTCAAGCCTCCAGATGAGAACACAGCCAGCAGCACCTTGACAGCAACTTAGTGAAACTCTGAACAGAGGGCACATCTAAGCAGTGCCCAGATTCCTGACCTACAGAGACTGAGAAATAATAAATGAGGGCTGTTTGAAGCCACTAAGTTTTTGGTAACTTGTTACACAACAGAAGAAAACTAACATGTATAAGAAGCTTGAAAATGCTTTTACAGGGTTAAATAGAAAAAAAAAAGAGTGACATGTAAACTACAAAATGGGTTCTTACACCATCCCTGCCTGTGTGTGTCTTTTATAAAGTCTCTTTGTTTTTCTATAGTTTAATTTTCTAATTAATTTACATAACAGAGTTTATAAAAATCCTATCTAAGGTAACTAGATAGAGAAACTAGAAAATCATGGGCAATATTTACAAAAAACAAATAATTACAAAATACAAATGAATAAGGGCAAACCACCAACAGCCACAAAACCTGCACAGAGTGGAGGTATCTACAGAGAAGCAAGCAGAGGAAAATAACAAGTATGCATCTGAAAGGACCCCCAAAGGGTCAACAGACAGTTAATGGGAAGAGCTGTAGCACAACCTGAGAGCAGCAGCTGAAACTGGCATATGAAACAGGCGTATGGTAAGAGAGTCCTGAAAGGGTTGGTACAGTCCAGCCTCACAGACCTTCATAACTGACTGTCAAGCTACTTCCTGGACAGGGGCCCACACTAATGAGAATCAGTAGAGGCTGTTATCAAAACTGAGCAGGGGCTTCCCTAGCGGCGCAGTGGTTGAGAGTCCGCCTGCCGATGCAAGGGTCACGGGTTCGTGCCCCGATCCGGTAAGATCCCACATGCCGCGGAGCAGCTGGGGCCCGTGAACCATGGCTGCTGAGCCTGCGCGTCCGGAGCCTGTGCTCCAGAACGGGAGAGGCCACAACAATGAGAGGCCCGCGTACCGCAAAAAAAAAAAAAAAAAAAACTGAGCAGGATAGGGGCAATGAAGACAAAGTAAAGACATGGCCCAGACCAAACTGTAGGAGGAAAGAGGACCAGGAAATCTCAGAGCCAAGCCACCATAGTTTTTAACACTCACAACAAACAAAAGACAGGGTTCTGTGAAGTTAGAAAAGCTTTCCTGAACCTTGCTCAAAGTTCAGGTCAACTAACCTTTTATAAAAATAAGCAACAGAAGGGCTTCCCTGGTGGCGCAGTGGTTGAGAGTCCGCCTGCTGATGCAGGGGACGCGGGTTCGTGCCCCGGTCCGGGAAGATCCCACATGCCGCAGAGCGGCTGGGCCTGTGAGCCATGGCCGCTGAGCCTGCGCGCCCAGAGCCTGTGTTCCGCAACAGGAGAGGCCACAACAGTGAGAGGCCCGCGTACCGGAAAAAAAATAATAATAATAAGCAACAGAAAAGCAGAGTGGTCAAATCCCATACAAACATAAGGAAATAGAGAGTAAAGAACAGAATGGACTCCTATAAATGAAAGAACGACAGAAAGACATGCCCACAAAACAGATGAAAATCATAACTTACTACTTCAAAATGAGCTACAAGACATTAACAAAATGGTATAAGGCATGAAAGAATAGGAATCAGAATTAGAGACTGAATAAGGCACTTAAATACTGAACTGACTTCTCTTAAATAAATAAATAAATATCAGAAAAATTAAAATAAATTAAAATAAAATTTTAAAAAACCTCAGAAATAAGGTGAAAAAGATCAGAAAGAATTAGAAATTAAAAATCATTTCTGCAAGGAACATTAAATTAGAGGGAACAAGAGTAAATACACATGGTCAAAAAAATGCCTTTAAGGACGTATGAAACAAAAAAGAAGTAAAATTTTTAAATAAAAATTTAAGAAAGAGATCAAAATGATTCAAGAGAAAATGAAAAAATACTGAAAACAGGCAAAGAATAACCAACATGCGGACAGCAGGAGTCCCTGAATAAGAAGATCAAAGCAAGGGAAACAGAACAAACACTAAAAACTGTAATTCAAGAAAACTGTCCTGAAATACAAAGATTTTAATCCACACTTTCAACAAACAAACTGCATATCTGAGAATACTGACCCAGCACAACCAACAACAAGACACATTCTAAGATAATTACTGGACTTTAACAAAAACTTGTACACAAATGTTCATAGCACCATTGTTCATAAATAGCCAAAAAGTGAAAACAACCCAAATTTCCATCAATTGGCCAATATATAAACAAAATATGAAATATTATTCAACGATAAAAAGAAATGAAGTACCGATATATGCCACAACATGGATGAACGTTGAAAACATTATGCTAAGTGAAAGAAGCGAGATGTAAAAGGCCATATATTGTATAACTCCATTTATGTGAAATTTCCAGAATAGGTAAATCTATAGAAACAGAAAATAGACTTGTGGTTATCAGAGAGTAGAGAGAGGGGGAATTGGGAATTCTAGCAGGTTATGAGGATTCTTTTGGCGGGTGGGGTGGGGGGGGGTCGTGATGGAAATGTTCTGGAATTAGATAATGGTGATTGCTGTACAGCTTAGTGAATATAGTGAAAACCATCAAATTGTATACTTTAAAATGGTGAATTTTATGTTAGGTGAATTATGTCCTAATTTTTTACATTCATCATCATAAAAAGTATATCCTGTCTATAGTCTCCTTTGGCAAACTCTTATTTTCTTCCTCTCGTTGATATCAGTGCTTGATGACACTAGGGCTCAAGGTCCTACCTGTATTTTAGGAAAACTAAATAAACAAAGGGCCAAATGTAGGTTCGTGGTTGAATTTAAACTATGATGGGACTTCTATGCTACTGAATATAGCAGAGATGTAGCAAAATCTCCCTTTTCTTTCACCAGAATGGAAAGAGGAAATGATGAGGTAGCTAAAGTAGCTAGGTACAGTAATGAAAATATCAGTGGAATATTTTCATTTAGCTAAGCCAAAGAAATGCAGGGTCCCCACATAATGTTCCTAGCTTTACTTGAAACTTTCCTATGAAATGTTACAAGTTAAGATAAACAATAATTTGGCTAATCTATATGTGTAATTAAAAATTTCTTATGATATGCCATCAATGTTAGCCTTTCTCTTCAGCCTCAGTATCTGTGCAACTCTTTAAATAATGCTTTCCATTTGAAAATATCAAATTCATCATTATCTATAAACAAACTGATACCCCAAAGCCACTCCCTGCTGTCGTCATTCCTACTGTGGCAAACAACCCTTCTCCAGGTATCATGCTCAAGACTCTATGGATTATCTCATTTCACTCTACACCAACCCCAAGGGAAGATACCATTAATACCCCCATTTTATACCAGGAGGAAACTGGGGCTTAAAGATATTCAGTCACTTGTCCAAAGTCACATCTCTAGGAAGTGACAATGTCACGATTCAAAGCCCCATCAATCCACCTACATTGAGAAATCCCTGACTCCAGAGCTCTGCTGTGTGCCTTGCTATTGACCTTCAAGACATGGCTCACCCCATGGCTTCCCTTGCTTGTCAGGGAAGCACTCTGCTCGATACTGCAGATATCTTAAACACAGATCATTCTTTCACACTTCCAAACTAACTACAAGTCAGGGTCTTCTTAATGAGAGATGACTCAGACTTCCAGTGGATTTCTCAATCCAGATGGAATTTCCACTGGGCTGGGCCAAAACCAGGGCATCCTTTGGGCAGTGATGGATAACAGCAAAGTTTAAATCAGCTTTTTATGTTAATGTATTATTATCTTAATCTTCTCCTAGTAGTGAAGTTGGACTATTCTCACCATTCCCACTGAAATAGATGAGGGGATGTTATGTATATCATTCTTCAATAAGTTTTTAGAAATAGTTAATAGGGCAACTGAGGCCAAGAGATCAATGGTCTGGACATCCCGAGAGTAAGTAAGACAATTTTGCTTTTAGATTTCACAGCCACCACTGGTACTAAGTTTTCCTACCTCACATCTGAGTCCTGTGGGTCATCCAGAATGTACTCATCTCTCTCAATGTGTCTGCACAGATCAGGGGAAAGGGGAGGGGCGGCGAGGATGAAAAGATAAAAGCTATTATTGAGCACTTCCTACATGCCAGACACTACATTAAACATACCTGATCTCAGTGAATCTTCCCAATAACCCTAGAGATTATTATGCACATTTCACAGATGAGAACACTGAGGCTTGGAGAGGTGGAGTAACTTGTGTAAAGATATCCAGTGGGAGGGTTAGAATTCAAGCTCATACTCTGGCTGACTCCTAAATCCATCCTCTTTCATAACTCAGTGCTGTCTTCAACAATAACCACAACTGTGTTGTGGGTGTCTATCAGCAAACTTACACATTTCACCTTTAAAAAAGATGTTTGGTTCTTTCATGAAAACAAGACCAAGACAAATGGGCTGAGGCAATCAAAGTATTTTAGAATTAAATGCGACTTTAGAGACCAAGTCCATCCTCCTTATCTGACAGATAAGGCATCTTAATGCCCAGGGAGCTTAGGTGATTTGGCTGAGGTCACAGAGCTAATAAAAGCCTCCACCAAACTAATACAGAAAGCTCCAGACTAAAATTACTGCCTTCATCTTTCCTTTTGGAAGGTTGCATTGCCTTTGTTTCCTCTTCATTTCAAGGGAAACCAAGTGCATCTCCGACTCTAGGCACTAACTTCAATAAAACAAGTGACAAAAACTGGTAGGTTCTTTTCACCAAGATTATGAAACCAACTATAAAACATCCATGTGTAATGTCTTCAAAGGAGTCGGACACCTAATGAAATTGCTTCTCAAGTAAACTTACGCAGTTATCATTGGAGATCTGCTTAAAACGAAAAAAAAAGTGTATTTGCCTAGGATAAATATCACATGGAATAAATAAAGAACAGTCAAAAGTAGGCTCCACTTCTGCAGAAATTGCACAGCCCGGGAAAAACTCACAGCCCTCTCTTCTGTCTCCTAAGAGTCCTGGCGTAGAAGCTACAGAAGACAGCCCAGCATAAACTCTTTCTTTGGTTTACCGAGCATTTATAGAATGTCTAGGGCGTGGCTGGCATTTTTATTAAAAAGGGATGAAAAAGACCTGGTCCTTGTCCTCGAAGGACTTATTGATTCTTGAGAGGGAAAGAGCCCAGAAGTCCGGAGTTGTAAACCTAAGAAGCTCCAAGTCCAGGCCCTCTGGGTCCTGCCCTTTGGTCCCTACCCAGTCCTCTGGATACTGAGGCAGCGGTCTTTGGCTAGAATGCTCCAGGAAGATCTTCCTCAGGTGGGCGCAGAGGCCCGGCGCAAGGCGCTGGAGGTGTGTCCCCACAGACGACACGAACTGCCACAGAACAGCCTCAAACTAACTCGGGGTCCCCATAACCCTCACTGCAGCCCCCTATACCTTTCCTCTGAACACCTCCCCGCCCAAATCTTTCCCCTCCAAAACCCCACACCCGGTGGTTACCTCAGGGGTCTCCCGTGATCCAGACTGCACACCCAAGACCCCTGGGGCAGCTTCGGATCTCAAAGGCAGAGAGAGGCCCAGGCAGGCCGCGGGGTCAGAGCAAAAACTGTTGGAACACGACGGACTCTAGGACCCAGGGAGAGGGAACAAACAGCACAGGGGTAACAAGAGGGAGACCAGCCCCAGGGAGACGGTGTTTACAACTGCCACTTCCGGAGACTCGACTTCCCTGGCAGACCTCCGCAGACTTTCGCTGGCCGCGGCCCCGCCCGGGCCCGGGCGGCCCCTTTCCTCCCGCCTCCGGCAGCCGACAGCTCCAGGATACGCACTCGGAGAACGCCGGGCTCCGAGTGGAAGATCCGGGCCCGCGAAGCTGCGCGGCTTTGCTGGAAGGTGACCGGCGCATGCGCTGTTGCTGGGGAGCGGCGCGCTCGCGACCGCGCGCGGTTCCGCGCCTGGCGCGGACCCTCCCCCCTTCTACCTCCGCCTGAGGACCCCTCGGCCCACGTTCCAGTGTGGTGGTCTCAGTGTGAGGTGCCCGGGTCACCGTTCCAGAATCCCCAGAGAGCCGACTGAAAAGGCAGGTTTCTAAGCCCTAGCTCCTTTTCCCCGCCTACTGAATAAAAATCTTAAGAGGTCTGATCCCAGATGCTGCATTTTTAAGCTGGCTCCCCTGCTGATCCGTAGGGTCAGGACAGCCCCTCGGGGTACGTGGTCCGGTGCCAGAACCGGGGGAAATTCCCTGGGCTCGCTTCTGCACCAATGATTGGTTTCCCGCTGTTCAGACCGCTATCCGCCTGCCGGACGCTTCTAGTCCCCTCCTCCCATCCCCATTGTATCCCAGCTGGTGGTTGTAAACGGGGACGCAAAATGCGGGCCAGCGCGCTGATGCAGCTGCAGCGCCTTTCGTTATAAATATTACGTAACGAGGTACCTCACGAAAAAGTCCTCAGAGCCTTAGCAAGTGCCCCAGCTCCCTTTCCTACCCTCGTCCTCTTCCCCACCCCCGACACACACACATATACACACGCACCCCACGCACGCTTTCCTCGTTGATAATTTATACTTTGGTTTCTCCTGGTAGCCGCTGCCGCCTCAGGGAGATTGGAAAACCAAATCCTCTTTTGTTCCTTGGCTTTTGAAAGCCTGTTCCCCAAAGAACAATGCAAATTGGCGGGATATTGACTCAGGATTTAATCTTCAACACCACCTCCTCCTCCTCCCGAAAAGGTGTTTAATACAAAAAGAACCTTTTATGCCAAAATAGTGCCTTGTGGCTTGTAATTAACCTGAAACCAGGTGTAGGGGCCGTCTTTCCCCTGTCTCCCTGGGATTAAAACCTCCTTGATTCCTGTAACACTGAAACTCTGAAACTTTAATTGGCTTGAGTTTAGTCATTTAGATTAGGAAAGGAGGCACATCCCGCTTCAATAGTTTAGTCAGAAAGAGGGTAATTTCTTCAAAGAAAAGAGTGTATGGAAAGAAAAGAGCCCACTCTAACACTTAGAAACGAAATGGACAATTACAACAGACTAATGATATTAGGACTTTTTTTACTTTACAAGTTTTAAATAATATAAAATTTTTATTTGTGCTTTAGCAAAATCACAGAATTGAATATTGTACAGCAAGAAATGCCAAATGTACTATACTGCACACTTTTTTAAAATGAAAAAAATGGATGCAGCATGAAGACTTGCAATCTTCATTTACTTGTTCATTCAGCATTTATTGAATACAGACTATATACCCAGCCCAGAACTAGGTGGTTGAAATGCAGGATACATGATACAGGTGCAGTGGGATTCAGAAGAGGGAAGTATAATATCAACCCTGAACAACCAGAAAGGCTTTATAGAGAACTTTGAGTTCAGTCTGGGAAGGTAGTTATAGATTCACCAAATTAAAAGGAATTGGAAGACATGGAAGCTGCAAACAGGGCAGGAAACAGCAAGAGGCATTTGGAAAACTGAACAAAGCTCTGTGTGCAGTCTTGGGGTAGCGGATGTGGGGAGTAGGATGTCAGGCTGGAGAAGTAAGCAGAACCCAGATCACAGAGGGCCGTCTAGGTCATACTTAGTTTACCAAGCAACAGAGCTAAATGAAGGATGTTGAGCAGAAAAGTTCTAATAATTAAACAATAAATCAGACTGTTATCAAATACTTGGAGGTTTTCTGTGTTTTTCTAGTAGTTACAAGGTCAATTCTTTGTTGTCTCTTGTTTGCCTAACATGCTATACTACTTAGGAAAGCTGTACAGAAAGATGCTGTCTAGCCCACTTCTCTTTTAGCCTCGAGTCACAATTCTCATCGCATTCTTTCTCTTGAGATATTATTCGATCCACCACCCCCACTCTTCCAAAACAGATTTCGCAGTCAATAATGACCTCATTACCAGATCCCAGGCTCCTTGAGTTCACTGACACTTTGATCACTCTCAGATTTCTCTCCAGCATAGGTGAGACTCAGGGTTTAGGCAGCTCTCTGACCTCTTTGCTGCTGCTCAGGAAACCATTATCACCTTGCCCCTTAAGGGGATACTTTCTCAGTTTTGCCCTCAACCTTCACCATTCACCACAGTAGCTTTCTTGGTGATGTCATCCATTCCTGCAACTGTGAACTCTGTGTCCACAACTTTCAATTCTTTATGTCTACCTCACATACCATAATATCATAAGCTGAGCTCTGATCTTGAATTTTTAACTCTCATTTGAACAGTGTCATTTTAATGTCTGTCAGTATTGAGTTCAATATATCTAAAACTTAATGATCTTTCTCAGCTTCTCACTGGAGCCCCACAAACTGCTCTACCTATTTATAAAACTTATAATCACAGACACCCAAACAAAAAAAAACTTAGAGAATCTTTCTTCTCTCTCAGGCTCTCAATTCCTTCATCTGAGAATTACTAAATCCTACTTACTTTGTCTCCTGTGGCCTTTCTATGCCTCCTACTAATCATCTTCATTTATTTGTTTCCTTGTTGTTTCATATCCAGACACTTGTAATCAGGACCTTTGCTGTGGCTGACGCAAGTCACCCACCTCCTCCTTCTGTGCAAATTCTCAACATTTTTACAAGTTGACAACTAATATCTAGGGCATTTTTAAACCGGGAAATATGAGAGGAGAAGATCAAAAAATAGAAAAAAATCAAAAGCAGGCCTAAGGGCACATATGCACCTTTCTGACACTAAGGGAGTGTTATGAGCTGATTGTGTACATGTGAGCCGCAGGGTTTTTTTGTTTATTTGTTTTTTATTGCGGTACGTGGGCCTCTCACTGCTGTGGCCTCTCCCATTGCAGAGCACAGGCTCCAGACGCTCAGGCTCAGCGGCCATGGCTCACGGGCCCAGCCGCTGCGCGGCATGTGGGATCCTCCCGGACCAGGGCACGAACCCGTGTCCCCTGCCTCGGCAGGCAGACTCTCAACCACTGCGCCACCAGGGAAGCCCCGCAGGGTTTTTTAACACCAGATGAGCCACATCCTTTTGACCCTAGTAACCTCTCCCAGAAGGTTCAAACACCAGGTGCTTGATTATTACGCTGCTTTGGTATCAATTGTTAGAACTGCGAGCCCTGCCATAATTGTTGCTCTTGGTGGCCCTGGTTCTTTGCTCCTTCAATCCCCATACTGTGTGCTACAATGGAAATGATCCTTCTGAAGCATAACTCTGATTACATTACCCTTCATTAATTCTTTTAATGGCTCCTCAGTCCTTACTGGATAAAACCCATACTTTTCCTCCCATCCATCAAGGGCCCTTATTCTTGTCCCTACCTGCCTTTCCAGCCTTACCTTCTCTTATCTCACAATAAATCTTCCCTCTCATTCACATTAGCAACAGAAAACACAAATAAATGTAATAAGAGGTAGATATGGACTTATATTAAAAGGTTTAAGATATATAGGCTAATATAAAAGATAACATTATTTATTAAACATATGTGCCAAGCACTAAGCTAAGTGGTTTCACACGTATTCTAATTTTTTTCAAAAATGCATATGTCTTTATCCTTTGTTCCGATAGTAAATACATGGTCACTTAAGTCAGGGCAATTTTTTTTTTTTTTTTGCAGTACGCGGGCCTCTCACTGTTGTGGCCTCTCCCGTTGCGGAGCACAGGCTCCGGACGCGCAGGCTAAGCGGCCATGGCTCACGGGCCTAGCCGCTCCGCGGCATATGGGATCTTCCCGGACCGGGGCACGAACCCGTGTCCCCTGCATCGGCAGGCGGACTCTCAACCACTGCGCCACCAGGGAAGCCCAAGTCAGGGCAATTTTAAAAGTAAAATTCTCCCCCAAGTCCTACCTTCCCAGTCTAGATTTAAAAACTGTTAGGAATGTATTACATTTCTAATATAACATTTTGATGCATAAATAAATACGTTTTAAAGAAGGCACATTTGTTCATTTATTTCTATATTTACGCAAGTGTGCATACACACAATAGTAGCAGACACTGCTTTTCCATTTCCTACACCATCCTTGCTGACAACCTTAATCTGTTTGCAGCAGTAATAGGTAGAACTTCAGGAGATGAATGGTCTGATCTATCCTATTTCCTCCTGCTAGCTACTGGCTCTCCAAAGCTCCCTGGTAGCTAGGGTTGGCTGTGTTACCAGTTCTGAACAATGAAATGTAAGGGCACACCTACTGAGGTGAGAATAAAAAGAGCCTTGATTCTCCATGACACTCCTTAGCTTCTGATCCAATCCTGGACTTCCTTCTGACACAAACGATTAATGGTCTTAGAATTCAAGTCTGTGCTAGTCATGTTTTCTGTTATTTGAAGCCAGTGGTGTGCTGATTTCCTTGATGTATACTAAATACTGCCACTGTGGCTAATTTCAAGCAACCAACATGCAGTCTCTTGACTGCAGAGTTCAGAAGAAATATGTACATTTGGCTCTCAAGAGTCCTGTGGGAGCCAGCTCCAGCACATCATTGCTATTGATAGGTAGATAAGTAGGTAGGTAGATAGATTTTTTTTTAACTTAACAATACAGCTTTAATACATTTTTATGTTAATATGAAAAAATATACCTTTTTATGGCTGTATTGTAATCCGTTTTATGAATGCCCATAATTTATCCCATCATTTAAGTTGTTTCTGCTTTGTTTATTTACTTAAAAAATAAAAATAAAACACTGTCTCCAAAGGTATACTTTGCATATTTGTCTTTTTTTTTTTTTTTTGGCCACGCCATGCAGCATGTGGGATCTTAGTTCCCCAACCAGGGATTAAACCCACGCCCTCTGCAGTGGAAGCGTGGAGTCTTAACCACTGGACCGCCAGGGAAGTCCCACATATTTGTCTTTTTCAAGTCATAGTATAAATACCTAGAATAGAAATTGATGGATAAAAGGATAAGCATTGAAAACCAAAATCGA